GAGAGAGAGAGAGAGAGAGAGAGAGAGAGGGGCAAACAGAGTGAGACCGTGCATCCACAATGAGACGGCTAATTTTGAAGACGTGATTTATGTTTACCGCACAGAAACACTTAAACAAGAAAATAGTGGATAAATCAACCTTTCTTTGTTCTATACAACAACACCGTGCATCACAGTCAAACTCTGGTATTGAGGCTGAGCTAGTTTTACTCTTCTTAGTTCCCTTCTGCTTTCTGTAATCAGCTTTTCTTCAATTTATATATGGACTCATGATTTATTTGCCCTTCATTTACATATTTTTCTGTTTCTGTACATCTGAATTACCATGAACAAGTGCTTTAACGGTCATTAAGATTCCTTTCAAACCATGCAAACGCATTGCTGCATCGAGTCAGTCAATCACTTTATGAGGAGTTTTGCAATATAAAAACAAAGACATGAGCCACCGTATTGCAGTGGTCCTTCACTAAGATGAACATAAAACACTTTAGTTTACTTAAAGTTGATCCATTCTTAACAAAAAGTACCAAATGTGTATTCCACCAATGAAAATAGAAAACAACTGTTGAGATAATTTTACTAAATTAAACTAAAAGTTATTTTTGTTTTCGGTTTTCAAATGTATGTCTTCTGTAGGGATATGTCTGTGCTTGGGAGTGCAACAATCAGAGTAAAGAAGTTAAATTGTATTGATGGACTGTCTTACAAATTGTTGACAATAAGAACTATTGTTTTCCTTTGTCCTTACTACCACACAAATCTTAACCAAGCTTATGCCATAAGGCCAAAAAAGAAATACAATATGGCATTTTCAGCTTGATCAACTATCTAAAAAACATGGCCTTAAACTCTTAATTATAATTGTCATATATTAGAAAATGTTGTCATTTGCACATTTCCGCAGGGGTCAGTGTGGACCTCTGGAGAGACTTAAATTACGCAATAAAAAGTATGAGAATAAAAGAAACCACCTGTGAGCGCGTTCGAAGTGTATGCAGGACTTTAGTGTGGATGAAGGGTCAGATCATATGTTGTTGGCTTAATTTGGACATACTAAAATACAAAGATGCAAGACAGGCGCATACCCTATAGAAGAGTGCAGTCATACAGAGAGCCTGAAAGAGTGTGAAGCCCAAACTGAACAAGCGTGGTTACTTCAATCCAATCTGATTAGCGTGTGTCAGTCAAATTCAAATTGACTAGCAGATGAGGTCCTCCATCAGATGGTTTCCTCAGTTAGTTTAAGCCATGGAAAAGCTGCCAATGTGTCAATTCCAATCATGTGCAGAATTCAATCATTACACGCTCTGTTACTCATGTGTCCATCATTTATTATTGCGCATTAAACCCTTCAGTGTTCTGCTAGTAAAATATGAGTCCTCCCCTCACTCCCTCCCAATCTCTCCGTGTTGGCCTTGCTCTCTCTCCCTTTCCCTTTGTCCGTCAATCTGAAAAGAAAAAAAACAACACAGTTGAATCTCCAAGTAGCTCATGCATATCCAGAGTGTGTGACTGTGTGTATGCTTTGTGTACATCATTTGTAAATCCATGCATGTACCTATGCTTCACATAGTCCCTTTGGTTGTGTAAACACTCCAACATAGATAATGTGAGAGAAGTAAGTGCCAGTGATACATGACTAGCAGAGCATAACATTAACTGTCACATCCAATAGATCTAGCGACTGCAGGCAGAATGAGAAAGTGTGTGTGTGTGTGTGTGTGTGTGTGTGTGTGTGTGTGTGTGTGTGTGTGTGTGTGTGTGTGTGTGTGTGTGTGTGTGTGTGTGTGTGTGTGTGTGTGTGTGTACCGTTGCAAGAGAAGTAGATAATGTTGATGTCCAATATATGTGTGTATTTTGAAGGATTGTGAATACAAATGTGTGCAACTGTGTGTGAGTGTGTCTGTCAGACGAGTGCAGAAAGTGGGAAGCAGCTGTTTCATGCTCGGGGTAACAACAAGAGGGAAAAACCTTCTGTCCTGGTTGTCATGGCAGCAAAAAAACAAACAGCCCCATTTGGTACCAATTGGTAATAAAAGTCGTTGATAGATGGAGGAGAGTGAGAGATGGAGGCTCTGTTTTTTTAAGATTGTGTGTGTGAGTGAAATCTTGTTCAATAAGTGTCCTGAGGACAGGCTGAGAGGATATCGAGCTTCAAAAAAGATGAAGCTTATCGGTCTTTTGTTCAGTGGGAAAACATGCAACGATCATAAAATATGTCTTTGTGCTGAAGCTTATTTGAAATCTCTGTTATATTGCCGGTGACCTGTGGTTGCCCTGCTGCCTCAGGTTGATTGTCTACTTTCTTCAAATGAGTTCAATGAAACCTCACAGAGTACCAACTGTAACTGTACTGAAGCTTAACCTTCATATATTGCCGTTGAAGTAAGGCAATGACCAAGGGTTACTTTAGCTTGCATATACAGTTCATTTTTCAAACGTTTACCATACAGCAAATACATTTAGGCCTATCTGGTATTGATCTTGTGAAGTAATCTTGTAGAGAAAAACCTTTTCATGTTTTGTATTAAATATAAAATATAACTGTTTTCTACTTTTCTTTCCCTCAGTGAATTTTGACCACTTCCAGATCCTGAGAGCAATAGGAAAAGGAAGCTTTGGAAAAGTAAGTCTATGTCTTGATACATATATGAAACATATATTTATTAATGTCCCAAGGGGAAGCTAGTTTAGTAAGCTATGTGCAAAGACAGATGAAGCACATACAACAGCACACTACTAGTACTGACACACAAACAAACACACATTCAAGGAGAACATAATTCATGCCGTAGTATTTCTCAGGAGAGCCTGCCAGTTCAATAAGCTCAAACATATAACAATATGTGAAAAAAACATCCAATATAAAAGACCAGTCCCTAGACGAATAAATATGCAATACGTATACAATGTTGCCTTAAAAACATATTCAATCTTGTGTACTGTATATTAAATATCACAATCCTCACGTGATTCTAGGGGCAACTCTTTTTTGTTTCATCACACATTCATTTGCCTATTTTCTATATTACTCAGTTAGTCTTTGATATCGTCAAATACATTGTTTTTTCTGAACAATATTCCAAAATCTTAAGATGTTGAATTTACAGTTAAATTAGACAATAAGCTGCATATGTTCACAACGTTGAAGCTGTAGGCAGGGGAAATCAAGAATTATCGCTTGAAAAATGATATAGTGTAAACTAAGTGTATAACGGGCAACATATTGTCAGTATAATACCAACATAGTTGAGTATAGCCTTCCAGTTTCATTTCCTTCAGACCAACCAACAGCTTTGCAGAAACACATCTGAGTCGATTACTGTGTCCTCTTGCTCTTACTGTAAGTCATAAAGTGCAGAGCAGGTCACAGCCGCACTTATAGTAAGCACATATAGCGATGCACACTCACATGCACACAGTCCCACAAAGCATCCACACTCCAACAACAGATAAGCAGTCTAATCACAGAGGATGGAAAGCTGTTCAATGGGAGGAGTGATGTGATCAGGGTTTGGCTGATTAACTGTGCCAGAAGCTCCACAGATCATTCCCTTAGATAGCAGTAATCACTGGCTTATTGACACGTGTAGCAGACAAACACTAGGACAATACATATGGGGAAAAACTCCTTTGCATATTACAAATAGTGTCCATTCTTAGACACATTGTTAAAAGGGTTGAAATGTCATGCATTAACAGCTAATACTGCACCAGGTGTTATGTTCTCCGTTTTGCTGCGTCACATAAGTACTGCAATGTATTTCCACCGACTTAAATACACTGAAAGTGCTGTTGGAAAGCATTTTATGCAAGAAAGCAAGCAAGAGTTTATTTTTATTTCCAGGTGGAAGCACAATTTGCTGTGATACTTGTGAGCAACTGCAGCCTCAAACACTATTTAAAAAGTTAAATTATGTAACATTGGACAATCTAACACGATACAAAAGATATTAAAGACATATGCAGGTTGAAACCATTAACAAAATGTAATTTATTATTATAATTCATTATTTTTCATTCGGTTTATAAACAGGAGGTTAGAGATGTGTCAGATGGGAGTAGAGTGAGACATTTTGAAATTACATTTTTAATACAATACATTTGTATCGAAGAGAAATGTCTATGTAGCAATACTGTTAGTGAGGACTGCAGTCTTTACTGTATGAATGGATGTTTGCAGAAAGCAAAGTATGTGTCACCTTGAGCAGCCTTGAAAGTACTGAAGCCTTAGACTAACATATACAGGCAGAACACGAACAAATGATTCCAACCATGTTGAGCACAGGCGTGAATTAATGGACCCCTTTGTGATCTTATCATCAGGTCTGCATTGTGCAGAAGAAGGACACAAAGAAGATGTACGCCATGAAGTACATGAACAAGCTGAAATGTGTGGAGCGGAATGAAGTGAGGAACGTCTTGAAAGAGCTGCAGATAATGCAGAACCTTGAGCACCCTTTTTTGGTCAACTTTTGGTAAGTCAATGTGCTTAAGTGAATATGTGAATGTGGGGTTGTCTATCAATTCATGGGGACATACCATTTAGCGCTTGTGCTGTGACATTTGGGTATTTGGAGTGCGTACTAACCAACATAAACTGCAGAAAATACAAACCCCTTCCTATGTCGTATGCAGGCTCAGTGGATTAATACCAGCCCCTATCTGAGTATCTCCACCTATAGCATGAGAACGACCGATGCAAAGGTGTACCATGTTTTTTCTCGCAAGCCAATCAGAGCAGACTGGGGCTTATCATGAGGTGTCCCCTTTGGGTCTGTGAGTTTTTTTTGTTAATGACAAATAACCCTAAATCCTTCCTTATTTAGTGTTTAAGAAATAACTCTAGCTTATTTTTGTATTCAAACTGACATCCACTGAGTGACTTTGACAGAATAAGCCTCTCAATCCCTTGAATATGAATATAAAAAGCAGCTGTGTAACATTTTAAGCACACTAGAAATGGTTTCCACTTCAGCAGATTTGCCGTCACAAAGGCTTGTATACACTGGTTATTACCATCAGCCGTAGCAGCCACTTGAATGATTTTGTAGTTCATTTTTTGTCAACCACATGATTTTTATAGTGACCATGGACCATGCTGTGTCCATAAAACATGTGAATGCACAGACACATAGAGAGACCATGTGCTGTTAAAGAAAGCTCTGGATTGGGTTTCTGGATGCATTCAGAAAGGTGTATTTGCCCACTCTCAAGCCTCTGCGTCATCATCTCACTCTTTGAAGTTGCTAAAAGGGAAGTGTAGTTTGTTCACTGATCCAAGCTCCACTTTTATGGGCCCAACTCTCCTCTCTCGGCATCTTCTTGTTCGCCTCAGTGCATTTGAGGGCCGAGGACGTCTTAGCCTCAACACTGTACAAGCTTATTTAAAAAGCAAGTGCTAATCTAAGATGACTCATCAGGTATTTAACAAACTCATTCATCATAATTTGAAAGCCTGAGCCTATTTAGCACCAGGAAACGTACTTTTGAGATCCCTGATAAGTATGGCTTGTTAAGTTTCAGTCTGAAAGGCGTCATTAATTCTTCATAAGCACTCCCACTCTGCAACGTTTGAGAGGAAGCGGTTTTCTTTCTGTCAAGCAGAGAGGCAGAGAGGAGGGAATGTCTATGCAAGGACGACACAGAAACTTCCAAAGACGTAGTCTTTTTTTTTGTGTTTTATTAGTATTATATGTAATTCCTTTTTTTTCTTTACAGGTTAACTTCTTGCCCATTTTGGTTCAGGCAGCTCCCTGTAAAAATAATCTGCAAATGTGAACAACTAAAAGAGATTATATTCATTGGATAGGATTTTCCAACCCATCCAACCTTTGTCTTCTGTCCCACTTTTCTGTCCTCTATTCATCTACTTCCCTTTTCTTCCATTTCCATTTAATATCTTTTTGAAAGCTTTGTTTTATAACTAATTTGGGGGAAACAAAACTCTTGCCACAGTAGGAATGAATTAGAGAAGACAAACAGTGAGAGGAAGAGAAAGGACAGCGAGTCGCAGGAAAAGGGAAAACAGGCACAGAGCAGAGAGGGAAAACCACTGAAGAGGTGAACAGAGGATAGAGAGATGTGTAGTGTACGGGCTCATCAGACAAACAATGCCAGCGCTTGCTTTCTTGCTTGATTGCATGCTGTGTTGGACAAAAAAAAATTGTTGGAAGTTAATGCTTTTGGCAGCGTAAATCCCCCTGGGTGGAGGTGATTTCCTCCAGAGATGTGCTTGGGTCAGCGCTGTGTCCCTCTCTCTTTCTGTCTCTCTTACTGTGTTGACTTGGCATAAGTTATGATTGAACCGAGGTAAGCATTCAAGGTCAGCCGATTACCCGCAGGCATATGGACATCACTGAGCCACCTGCATGCAGGAAACCAGCCTTTGTTTTTCTTCTTCTGTCACTCTCCTCCTCTGTCCTCTTTTCTTTCACCTCTTCCTCTCCTCTCTCACCACCTGCTTCTCTTCCTTTGCTCTCCTCTTGCTGTCAATGCTACTGGGCATGACCTCAGGTGTCTGTGCTCTGCGTGCAGCCAGGCAACTTCACACTTTGAAGACAGGAGCAGAACACATAAAAATAAGTTCTAAACAAGTCATTGTCCCTCCAAACTATTTAGCCTGATATTAAACGTCCCCTATTATACTGTTTTTCATCAATATATTATAGCTCTCAGATATATACAAAGCCAAGTGTTTGGCTCAAAATACCAAACAGATTATGCATTGTAGCATCCCATAATCCCCTCTGTTTCAGCCCTGTTTCAAAAGTGCTGATTCTGGGTCTGTTACTTTAGATGAAAATAAGGAGCCCCTCCCCACGCCCCTCTGAAAGATATTTGGTGACAAAGAACACAATGGTGCTCTAGGAGGAGATTCAGGTGATAAGGTGGGCGGGGGTTACCTTGGTTGGTTATTGGCTAATGGTTACACAAGTCAAAAAATCGTTATGACATCATAAAGTGGCCAAAATCTGATCAGCTAATTTTCAGAAAGGTTTTTATATAAATGGATCAGCGAATATTTTTTTCCTGAAACTTTCAGAATCTCTTTGCACAGAGGGGACACATGTTTATGTATAAAAGACATGAAAAAGTGGATTTTGCATAATAGGTGACCTTTAAGTGTTGATTTTGAAGAATCTTAACATCCCGCATTGTGGTCCGGTCAGTGTATTGTTGTGCCAGCAGTGGGAGGGCAGACGGTTGTGCCTGCACTGCACTACAGTATGTCCCACTCTGTAAGAGGAGCCTTTACTGGCACTGCCAGAGACAGACACAGACAGGGAGAGATTACCAGCATCAGATGCTGCTGTTTCCAGCTTTCAGTCTTGCTGCCTCTTTATCTGCAGATTTTGCAGGTGATTTGTTTGTTTGCAGTAGGGAATGTCACAGAGGAAGAACTTCTTGAAACTATGCTTGTGGAAAAGTTGGGGGAAAATAGAGGCAAACAACATCTTTGTGTACAGCATGTGTGTCCTTCATTTAGTAACCAAGAAAACACAAGACAAGTGTTGGAATTTCAAAATTCTAAGATTCTAGGATTAAGAATAAATAAATAACTTAGTTATAAATATCATTGCCAATTTTTATTTTATTATGGTTAATAATTCACAAATGATCTGCCTTTTAACAGTGTACAATTCACTTAATTCCAGCCCATCAGCCATGTCTAACCTCTGTGAAAAGTAATGCCATGATGCAACATGCTTTTATAAGTCATTTCATAACTGTCAAAGGGAAAAGAAGAACATTAACAAAAGTCTGAGTTACTGTGGAGTACAAGCTTCACTTGCTTTAGGGAGTCCCTCTTTTTTGTTAAGTTATTATGCAATCTCACTAATGCAGTCCATTTCTATGCAGAGCAAGACATCATTCAACGTTACACTAGATAGATAGATTGATGGCTTTTATTGCACCACAAAGGGAAGTTTACTTCTCTCAGGTCAGTACTAACAGACAATACATGTTACATATGAATCCCCATTCAAACAAAAATAACGTATGTCTCACAAAGGCAATGATTTTCTAAAGAAACCAAGAGAAGAAATCCTCCAAGCATTCTGACATAAAAGATCTAGTTCACCTTATGTGTCGTATTGCACTGGCATTATAGTGTTCTAAAATATAGGGTATCTTTAGAATGAATGGCATAAGATAAACTAAGGTTGATCCCAGAGCCCATATTACAAGTTAGTAACTAAGATGTTATTGTATATAAGGTACAAACTCTATCCCTGTGTTTATACAAATGTGCACTACAGTCCCATTATACTTTAAATGCTGCAGCCATTGCTGAACACCAGAAAGCATCATGTCAGCATGTCAAGTATTTGGATTTATGTCAAGGTGACTTGGGGAAATTTGAGATCCTACAATCAGTTGGGTTAGGAACAAAAAGTAATTGTTGGTTAACTATGTGTGGATTTTAAGTACATATTTTACAGGTGATAATTAACTTTATGAGCTTTCAGTAAGAGATGAGTGTCTGTAATTTGGCATTGCTGCGTCTGTGTGTGTGTATTCTCGTGGAGCATTAGACACAGACTGATGGGAGCTGTCACTCAAAGGAGGATGTGGGAGATGGGTTGGAGGAAGGACGGAGGGCTGTCGGCATCGATCCAGCATGTCACAGTCTGAGAGGCTGGCCGGCTGTGTCGGTTTCAGCATGGGGCTTTAATCCGAGTGTGTGTGTGGAAATGTGTGTGTGGGCTCATGTATGAATAGTATTTCTACTCAGTGAATTTGCGATACATTGTGTATAACAACATATTCGTGACTAGTCATTTATTGGTGTGGATTCATGTAGTCATTCATTGCATAGATGGTAGCACAATCACTATAGTTAACATTAAGGAGGTTTGTTTCATTTATTATATAAAAGGTATTTAGGTTATGGGTTATGGGTAACTGAGCGGGAAAAACAAGTCCTTATTTAGGAGAACAATATCATTACACTCATTTAAGGCTGGGTAATATGCCAATTTTGATCAGACTATATATTATTGTAGATTCTATATCTTTTTATTTCACATTTCTTTAAGAAAGAAATACACTATAATTGACAAGTAGGTTTCAGTATTGCAATTAAAAGTGAAGATTTACACACATTGTAAAAGACAGAATACCTGTCTTTCTGGATTTAAATACAGTACTCTAGTTTAAAAAAGTTTATAATTATGTTTTTATCATGTATACAAATACTAGTTGTAGGTTAAGTATTATTTCAATTACCAGTGTGTCCACACATGTATGTTCTGTTACCTTTGAAAGGGAGAAGGAAATGTTAACAAAAGCTGCTGAGACCAAGTGGTTTCTGGAGACTTCCATTACTGAAGTGGCCTGGGGCCTGAGCCTCTAAAAGCTCCATGCAGGATGCTCTCCCAACAGACTGACTGCCTGGAAGCAACCAAGAGGTCACATTGAAATGCATGTGTGGCGCAGCAGATATAGACGGAAGGAGACAGAAGGAGAGATC